GAAAAGACGTGGAGACGTTGGAAAGAGTGCAGAGAAGAGCAACAAAGAGGATTAGGGGACTGGAGACTAAAACACATGAAGAAGAGTTGCAGGGACTGGGTATGTCTAGTTTAATGAAAAGAAGGACTAGGGGAGACAGGATAGCAGTCTTTCCATATCTCAGGAGCTGCCCCAAAGAAGAGGGAGTCAAACTATTCTCCAAGGCACCTGAGGGCAGAACAAGAAGCAATGGGTGGAAACTAATCAAGGAGAGAAGCAATCTAGAACTATTGAGAAATTTCCTGACAGTTAGAACAATTAATCAGTGGAACAGCTTGCCTCTAGAAGTTGTGAATGCCCCAACACTGGAAGTCTTTAAGAAGATGTTGGATAGCCATCTGTCTGTGTTCTGTAATCCTCAAGATACTGATTTTCATTTTTTCCAGAAAACTGCCTTCTTGTTAAAGATTAGCCAAAGATCCATAAAAATAAAATTGTACGATACCTCTAAAAAAATCCCACCTGGGTGATGAGAGACACTGTGAATAAATGGAGTTACAGTAGAGTCATTTGTAATTATGAGCCCATTTTCCCCAGCATTATGGTAAAGTCCATCGACCCATGCACTGGACTCTAGTAACGTAATTTGTCTTTTTTATTTAAAAAAAATGACTTACAGACATTTTAAGGAACTATAGAAATGCTTTGGGAATAGGTAGGTTAATTACTTTACCTGTCCAAGCCAATAGCTTGCTTTCTGCAGTGAGATACATCTTTGGCACATTAAACTTTGCATTTTAATTTCACAGCAATATAGTCCTTTATAAACTAAGGGAACTAATACTTTTAACCTTGCACTAGTGTGCATTATAGTTTCAACTTTCCAATTGGGAACCATAAATAGAAAACAAAATGCAGGCACAAAATACAGACATTAATATATTTATATTGTATTCTTACATAAACTTAGATATCCTTAATTCTTATTATAATTAGTTGGTCTATAATATTGTGCTTGTTTTCTTCAGTTGAGTTGTTTAAATTAACTTTACAAATTCTGTTCTTGTGGTTTTCTTCTATGTTAGTTGTAACTTTATAAATCAATACATTTATAGAAGAATGTATAGAATGAACCAATGCATTTATAGAAGAAATTTGCAATTAAAACTTCAGGTGCTTCCTTCAAAGAACTTAAAGGCACTTTGGAATCTTCATCCCAGTATGTCTTTAAAATGAGGTTAGATGGCCATGTGTTTGAAAAAATAGTTTTTTTTTTCCTTTTTGCTGTACTAATTGCTTACCTTTTCAGCATATTTTGCAGAATTTATTTACTGCCAATGCTGGGAAGTCATTTATTTCAGCACCTTTTTGGAACTGCACTACAGTCCTTTCTAATCATTCTCTCCTTCTTCATATTAACAAAGTAATTAGAAATTAAATTGCAATCTTTGTAATGGACCTTTGCTGGCATTCTGATTTGCCTTTTTTGCCAGTTTAGCAAACACTTTAGTAAACCTGGTGCAAAGAAAATATCCTCTGGCCTCTATTTCTTGAGAGGATCAAGATACTCGGTTATGTGTTTGTTTTCCTGGAGTGTTTATAAGAAATTGTACTTTTTTTCTCCTTGCCTGGGGGGAGAAATGAATGTTTATAAGGTGATCTAATCCCTAAAACTCTTGGCAAATACAATGTTTTGTGTTCTTTGCTCTTATACCACAGCTGGTGATATGGGATAGATTACATTTTTAATTGAAAAAGAAAATCAAAGATTGAGCAAATATTTTGTCATCTCACTGAGACCCTCTGGATTACACACAACAAGCTTTTGAAAAGTTTCTTTTCCCATTTATAAAAGCCAAGGAAAAGAAATTACATTTCAGTATCTAAGTGTGTAATCAGGCCTATTCTTTTTTTGGTCTCTGCAGATT